GGGGGTGTGCGTGTGCGTGTGTGTGTGTGTGTGTGTCTGTGGAGATAGGGCCCAGACGCGGTCATGGGTTTGGAAGGTTTAACTTCGTATAGCGAGGTTTGTAACGAAGAGTCTCCGGTTTAGGGGCGAGGATTTGAACCCTGGCAGGCAAGAACCAGCAACTGCCAAAGTTAAAACAAGATGCCGCCATGGCGAGGTCGATCTCACCGTCGCTAGCTGAGCGAAGGCAGTGGATCGAGTGGAAGGCACTGGGAGTGGGACGGGGTCTCATCACTGCTTTCGCACCAGGCCCGGAACCCTGACAAATTTTCATCCGACATCATCCGCCGTCCCACAGCCCCGGCATGCTGAAACTTGGAATTGTGGTGAAGGTTCGGGGCTGCGGATGCGGCGCTTCATAACAACACACAGAAAAAGCAACAAGAAAAACAACACTAGCAATACTATCTAGCAACAATCATCATTCTCATCATCATCAAAACCATGGAGAGTTGAAAGGCCTGGATTACAGGACCAAGCTCGTGAAGACTCCTGCGTCAACCCTAGGCCCTAAACTGCAAAGACAAGGGTCTGGCAAGCTCAGCGGCTAGGAGTTGGTGCATGCACTAACGGTATCGAAGGAGATGGAACATGTCAAACTCCATACACTCAGAAGGCCTGAAATCTACGGCCGGGAATGCTCGAAGCAGCCTGTAAACGATGGAAGGTGGGCGGCTAAACACCAAACAGAAAATCTGACAAAACCCAGGGCAAAGCCATGCGAGGACCTCGCACATCGCCGAAGAGGATTCAGGCTTGGTTTCGGACTTAGGGTCCCCACCTCGACGCTGCCAGAATGAGATTTTTAAGTCTGCGAAGGAGCAGATCGAGGAGCTGCAGCTCATCACCCCCTTGGCTCGTCTATGCGGCTTCAGACGGCTCGAGGTGGACTCGTGGCGACATCTTCGTATTCAGAAACAGCTGGGCGAGGCTTGGGTGAAGGCTCGATTTGCAAGTTGCGGACATGGCAAATTTTTGCAGCAGCTGCCGAAGGTTCCATGCTTGGGATTCGAGGTTTCGGAACGTGTCGCTAGATCGGGATAAAGAGCCAGGCATGCTGGCTCCGGTTCACTGCAAACAATCCTCAGGAGCAACGGTGACACAAATAGCAAGAAGCATGACGGGACTGTTCGATTGGCCGGGTTTGTGAGTGGACCTCATGGCTTGGGCAAGGCCTGCATACTCGATGCCTTACTCCACCGACCCGGAAGTTAAACCTGAGAATAAAACACCCTAACAGGATCTTGCATGCTACACTCCATGACCTTGGCCCAAAAAAACCTGCGAGGGCAAGTCTTAGTGAACAGGCCCGAACTGGAAAAAGCCTCAGTTACTCAAATCTGCCCAGGTTCCCTTTCACCCTGAAAGCACCAAACCCCCTCCCTCGAACCTCTAGAAACCCCCAAACCCCCTTGAACGCAAACCCCCTTTAATAGCCCCTCTGAAACCGTCTAAACGAACCCTCAAGACCCTTTCCCCCCTAAACCCCTAAACCCCCCTGAAACCCCTCATCAACCCCTAAGCCCCAAAAGCCCCCCACAAAATCCAGGCACCCTCTCCACCTCCTGCTTCCACTGGAAAGGCTCCGCCTGGCCGAGCTGAATCCTGAGCCCAGGCACCCCAAAAAAAGGAGGGTAGGGGTTGAGGGTTGAGGGTTTATGATCGAGGGTTTAGAGTTTAGGGTTGAGGGTTGAGGGTTTAGGATTCAGGGTTTAGGGTCGAGGGTTTAGGGTCGAGGGTTGAGGGTTTAGGATTGAGGGTTTAGGGTTGAGGGTCGAGGGTTTAGGATTGAGGGTTTAGGGTCGAGGGCTTAGGGATTTTTTGAGTTTACGACCTCGACGGTTTCTATAGTGGGTTCGGGTGTTGAGGAACTTGTTACTCGGGCCTTTTAGCAATTGGGGCTTGGGGGTTCTTTGGGGTCCTAAAGAACTCCAATAAGGGGGGGTTGGGATTGGAGCCTGTTTAAGAATGCGGCTTCTAGAAGGAATACGCAGAGGTGGGGATGGGGTTTAGAAGGTTTAGGGTTTAGATTTTTATGAGGGTCCCATATTAGAGGGTTCCATGGGCGTTTACTGGCCTGGGGACCTTGGGGGGGAGGGCATTTAGGGATGTCGGCGTGTAGAAAGAGGGTTTGGGTTCTTGGGTAGAGGGCTTAGGGATTAGGATAAGGGATTACGGTCTAGGATAATACTGCATGATTTAGGATGATGCTGCATGATGCATGTTGCAATCTTGAAGCTTTAAGTTTTATTTAAGGGTGCTTAGGGTTCCGAGGGGTATTAGGAAACCGTGACTCATGCAGGGCTTTCTAGTGCTTAGCAGTGTAGCATCTATGCTCTAGACTCACAACAAGGCTTGGAGGTTAGAGTTCGTTCCCGCTTTAAACCTACTGGCAATCAAGGCTCTGGCATGCAAAGCGCAGCTTTGGCTGCCCAAAGCCCAAACCTGAAACCCTCTACCCTCGTGCAACTTTGCGCGCCTAAACCTCAAAGCTGGGAATGTTTCGTTGACAGCACTTCCATCAGCCGCTCTTTCAAGTCCCCCAACCCGATGAGAAAGGCCAAGCCCCTAAAACCTTTAGCCAAAAAGCAAGCCCCCAACCCCCAAACCCCAACTATCCCTACCTCACCGCCGTCCAAATGGGACCAGGGTGCACAAACTCCGCCAACCGATGTGTTCTTTCGACCTGAAGAGAGCAAGGTTCTCGGGTTTGCACAACAAAGAGAGTTTGAAGCATAGTTACCATTATGCCTTACGACGTTGTGATGACATCGTAGGACGATCAGAAACAATCGTCATACCTGCTTTTGCTGGGGGGTCAGGGTTTCGGAGTGTAGTTTGGGAGTGTAAGAGGCCGCAGGATCCAAACTTCAGGGTTTAGGGCTAATTCGGGTTTGTCCAAGGAGTCTGCTTTCGGCCCTGATTGTGGCGGCGACGTAGGATCGTCTACATCACCTCGAAGACCGGAGATTATCTGGCCTCATGTTCCGAAAGGCTAAAGTGTAAACTCCGTCGCCACCCCCTTCTACCGCAGTGCTCAGAACCTTCGTCCCGAAACCCCTGGAGCTGAAACCCGGTGATCTCGAAGTTGAAGCCGAAACCTGATCGGAAGCCTGCGGCAAGTGCAAAATTCACCCCTTCTACTTGAAATTGTTAGGCGCTCATCGCCGCGGGTTCTGGGGCCCCCTGCCCGGTCCTCGTCCAAGACACTGTTGCTGCCTGCCGAGAGGAGAGCAGGCACCCATGGTCCAGAGAGCCGTGCTCGCTTGGAGATTGAAGCTTTGAAATGTCGTTCGCAATTCAGGTTCTGTTGCTGGAGGATGCAGACGTTTAGTCAACGCCCCTCCGAGCCTGTGAACGAGAACGAAGACGAGAGATCTCCTCGAGTCGCACCGTGGGGGCTTCAAGCTTCTCAGGTTTTGAGGTTTAGGGAAAAGGGCTTCCAGGAGCTACGCTGCACGGCTAGACGGTGGCTCCAGCCCAGCTCGTTTTAAGGTGCACGCTGTCGGCACAGTGCGCCAAGTTCATGAACCTGTGCGAAAATCCAATCCCCAAACAGTAAAGCCAAACCCAAGTACGTCGACAGGACCCTGTGCGCCACCAGATTGGGCACGAAATGTCACCGTCGCACGGTGCTGCAATTTCGGTTCTCGGTGCAAGCTTCACAGGCTAAGCAAGCAACAATCTGGCCGAAAAAAGACTGGATAAGTGAGGGCGTGGGCATGGTGTTGCATCTCCTCGGGTGGCAGAGCTCGCCGTGGTGCTCAGATCGCCAAATGAGCTGCGGGCCTCTCACGCCAGGGCTGGTTCTGAACCGCTGCAGTACTAAAAGAGAGTGTGCTACCACTACCAGGCCTGCTACCACTACTGCTGCTGCTATTGCTACTAATACACCATACTGCTCCAAGTCCTGCCTTAGCCTCTAGCGGTCTCTTCCCCCTCATTTTTTCGACGACTACGACTACGACGACAACGACGACCTACCTAGTCCTTCTCTTCTCCGGCATCAACACTTCACTAGACCCGGAACACTTAACCCTGGATTCTGCTCCGCAACATCAGCAGCCTCGAATCCTATATCTGACTAGGCTTGGTATTTAGTGTTCTGGCTCGTCCCCCCGGTCATGGCGCGTCAACCCCAGAGCATCGAGTAACAAACAGAAAATTGCAGATTTCAGGGCTCTCTTAGGATGGCACTTCACTTCTTGCAGTGTTCAGGGTTGCCCAAACCCAAGAGGCTTGCAGCAGACTTCTACAACACCCGGTATTTCGGGCACAACATAAGCTATGATTGCATATGCCGCTATTGAGAGCTACAAGGTCGTGATTGGATTCGCTGGAAGCCATTTTCCAAGGACCCTCTCAGAACGTCACCTTGTTCTTCTCTGCCATGGGCACCTGGAGTGTCTGCGGGCGCTGCATCATCTCACCTCGCTCGGGGTTCACAGTGTATGCTGAAAACCTTCGATCCGAAGCCTCAGACGCAGGCCATGCCCTAAGCCTAAACCCCAAATGAAAAGGGCTTGAGGGGTTTGCAGCCTGGGTCCATGCCTAGTCACGGTCCATCTCGCGCGCCCACGTGGGGATCTGCTCCTGGTTCGCCGGTAAGCGCATCATCCCTGGCATCAAGCGCCGGTGCCCGGCTGGAAAGGCCGATGCGCCTGTGCTGCAACGTCCCTTACAGGGACCGAGCTACACGCGTGACTAAACACTACGAGCCAGGACGGCCGGGATCGCGGCCGAGCACAGATCCATCTTGCCCTCAAATGACCCAAAATCCCACAAAGCCAAACCTTCAAGCAGAACAAAGCGAAATGATCGCGCCTCAATCCTAGCCCCAAAGAATAAACCTGCAACCCTTTACCAACAACCTGCAATCGCACTGCCCAGTCCAAATCCATGCCCAAAATCCTCGAGCTCTAAATCCCACTGCAGCCTTATGTAGGAATAATGCCGCAGATCTTCGGGTAAGCAGTAGCTCAAAGCCTCAATGGCAAGCTTTACAGATACTGAAGCCAGCAACTGTACATCCGGAAAGGGTGTTGGGTTGGGGGGGTGCAGGGTCCCAACTTTCCTGAGCCGTAACCTTATCCTTTCAACTTAGATTGTGGCTGCTACTGCTGCTGCTGCTACTACTACAACTACTGCTACCACCATCACTACCACCACCACTGCCACCACCACCACCACCACCACGACTACTACTGCTGCAATTACTATTACTCAACCTTAATTTAGGAGTATTGTAACACTCATGGAGCCCGCCTGCTTCCCGAACGCAGCCGGCAGTGTCTCCCGGTGCCAAATGCTCCGAGGCGGCGAACAGCGCACAGCGCTTCGGGCTTAAGGGGACATACAGAATCCATGCCCTGGTCTACCCTACGGCCCTACGTTACTTGCATGCACAGCCCTCCTACACGGACTTCTCCATGTCAAACCACCCGCCCTGTTTGCCGGGACGATGCGACAGGAGCCTAGGTCTCCAGCAAAGCAGGTGCTGGCACCAGGAAAGCAGCGGAAGGTGGGAGGGCACCAGCCATCCTCTGAAACGACGTAGAGCATGCGGCATTGCGCCTCTTCATACCTCGGATGCGTGCAGTGTTTGGGTCGCTGCCGATTGGCGGTGTAAGCCACAACCTCTATATGCCTTCGGCACCAGCCTCTTTTTCGGGTGATTCAAATTCGGCCGATGAGTCGATGGCAAACGAACCCGAGAGACGAGAGAGAGCATGTTGGAGCGCAAAAAGGTGCCCAAGATAAGCGGGCAGGTCCTGTGTCCTCCCCGACCTCAAAGCTGATAAATTGAGAAAGCACCCGGAGTACGACATTACAGATTAGCGCCGTTCGGAGCTGGGAGTTGGCCAGTAGCATGTACTTGGGGTCCTTGACCTTCACGGCCCCAAAACCCAAACTTGATCCTTATGGCTCCTGAATTGCCACCCCACCAGGCGGTTTCCTGCGAGGTTTCAGGTTACCGCAGGTATGCAGTTGATTCACGCCTCACTTCAAAAGAGAATGCATCCGACAAACCGCCACAAACAGAAAGACCGACGAGCGCAAGTCAATTCTGAATCCCATGGTCCGATACCCCAAAGCCTAAACAGTCCTAATCGGGTTAGGTTGCAGCACAGCAATCAAGGCCCCGGCGTGCTGCAAGTATGGCCGGTGCCCTGCACCGACACCTTGGCACATCGATAGCTGAGGGTCTTCAGCCAGGTTCTGTTTGTGGCAAGCATACAGAAAGCTTTGGGAGAGCTTAGAGGCTTTAGAGGTGGCGGTTCTGGAAAATTTCGTTGTTCAAATTCATCAGCGGGACGGATCGGGCCAAAACGGCACGGTTCCCGGCTGGTTGGAACCAGAGATCGTCAGATAAGCGGATACTCTCATAGGGAACGCACGGATGCAACCTAAGTAAAGTAGCGGCCAACTCACATCAGCCCAAGCAGCACGGCAAGCTGCACCGCACTGGGAAGAAGCCACCGTTGACGAAGAAGAAGAAGACAAGATGACCACCACGCAACGCAGCGAACGAATGCTGAAGACAAAGGTCCGGCAGTGCTAACCGTTGACCTCAAAGAAGTGCGAATCACTGCGCAAGGCAGTGATTGCACGAGTCTCCCAGTTCTCAGCTGCACTCGCTTAGGAATCCTACAGGTTGAGCCGGTTCGTTGAATAAGGCAAATTTGCACAAAGATCGGCGCTGTTTTGCTGCAGAATGGGGCCCCGACCCGAAAAAACGGCCTTATTCAACGAACTGGCTCAACCTTTAGGATTCCTAGACGTTGAGCCGGTTCGTTGAATAAGGCAAGTTTGCACAAAGATCGGCACTGTTTTGGTGCAGAATGGGGCCCGGAACCGAAAAAATTGTCTTCTTATTCAATGAACTGGCTCAACCTTTAGGATTCGTAAAGGTTGACCCGGTTCGTTGAATAAGGCAAATTTGCCTTATTCAATGAAGGATGCCAAAGTTTATAAACCTTGGGCCGGTTCGTTGAATAAGGCAAAAATTCCTGATTCAGCAGGATTCACAAGCAGACAAAGGCAGGACTCGAGATCGGCCACCAGCCTAATCTAAAACACACTTTTGACGACAAGAATTTAACGTAGCAAAATCCGGCCATGATTTTTCCAGATCCGCCTCGAAACTCGGATGGTTTAGCCGGGACACACACAAAGATCAGCGCTGTTTTGCTGCAGAATGGGGCCCCGACCCAAAAATTTGCCTTATTCAATGGTTTAAATATACATAGCAAGAGAGGGTTTAGGGTTTAAGTTTAAGGGCTTTGGGTTTAGGGTTTTGGTTTTGGGTTTCGGGTTTAGGGTGTAGGATTTTAGGGTTTAGGGTTTGTTTGCTGCACCACGAGTCTCAGAATAAGATCCAGGGCCCTACCCCCTACAGACGCACACCACACCCACCCAATCGCAGCC